TAGTGCTTTAGTGTAGACATACCCATACTCTCAACCCCCTTGCCCTCAGTCCCTCATAAACCCAAACCCAGACTCCTGCACCCCCACATTCACAAGCCTGAGCCTTGCTCAGCACCCCAACTCACCACTTGACCCACAACACTCTCCAGCCTGGAATCCCCTTCCTGAGCCAGCATCTCCTTCTCCACCACCTCCTTCACCCAAATATCCTCCTAGAGCTTACACCTCTCACCCCTTCCCACACCCAAATCCCTCATTCCCACCCCCGGAGCCTGCACGTCCTGTCTTAACCCAGGGAGAGTGAGTAAGGGCTGGGGACAGCAAATGATGGAGAGAAGGGGACTGGAGAAAGTGGGGTCTCAAGGAAGGAATGGGGGCTTGGGGAAGAGATGAGGTAGATCTTGGCTTGCCCTGACATTTAAAAAGTCATCTTGGGTGTAAAAAGTTTAGAGACCACTGCTCTAGAGTGTATATGTATTTTGTTTGATTGCTAAGATAGGGTACTTTCAGATGTATCTTTCAAAAAATCCCTTTTCGAAAGAGAGCATTTATACTACACTTAGTACTTTCTAAAAAGTACAGTTTGCATTACTTAGCGCCTTTTTCTAAAAGCTCTTTTGAAAAAAGGCGTTATTTCTCGTAAAATGAGGTTTTCTGCTGTTGAAAAAACTGCCGCGTTCTTTCAATTTACTTTTGAAAGAACGTGGCAGCAGTCTAGACGCAGGGGAAGTTTTTTTTGAAAAAAGGCCACTTTTTTTAAAAAAAAAACCCTGTAATTCACCCTTAGTGAATTAGTTCAGTGCAGATCAGTGAGCTGCAGTCTATGGATGATATTACTAAATGAGCACAATCACAATGTTGTGAACCTGCAACCAGCAAATGCTTGAGATAATCTATCATATCTAAAGTATCACCAGATACAAGAAGTTCTCTGGGTCATGGTTTCTGAACCAGTTCTACGAGTACCCTTAGGGGTACTTGAGAGAAGTCTGGGGAGGGGGTATATCAACACAACTGAAATTTAGAGAAAACTGAATTTTTGTTTTAAGTTTTCTAGCATTTTATTATTTTTGTACTTTTTACACCCAAAAATACCATCACCCACCTGGCTACGATTAAGTTGTTTAAGCAAATGTGTTGCAATGGTAGAAAAAATTGTGTGTCTGAAAACTGTAAGTACTGGGGGTACTTAAAATTTTTTTAAAGGGGTACTTTATAAAAAAATGTTGAGAAACACTTCTCTGGGTCATGCCTTATGACCGTGGTCACCAACCCGTTGATCACGATCAACTGGTCGATTGGGAGGGCTCGACCAGTTGATCACGAGGCATTCGGGCCCC